GGAAGAAGTTGCTTCTGGGGAGGGTGTAGAAAATGACCTGTGGGATGGGGAACGTTTCTGGGCCCCTGGGCAGGGTCCAGGGCACTTTGAGGCCGGAATGCCCTCTCCAAACTGCACTGTGGCTGGCGAGGCGGCCTGATATGGGGAAGTATTACGGGTTCTGACCCAGCTCTGTCTCTGATGACAGTGTTCTGTGACCGTGGGCTCAGGCCCCATCTTAGCTCCTGCTCTAGCTGTAAGCCCCTGCTGCCCACCGACACCTTGGCCCTTTCGGCATCCTGCTTCTTTCTTTACTTACCATTCTCCCTCCCCTCCCTGCCCCCTCTCCCCCCGGCACCCCGTGTAAGCCCCTGCTGCCCACCGACACCTTGGCCCTTTCCGCATCCTGCTTCTTTCTTTACTTACCATTAGCCGACCCTCACCCCGCCGCCACACCCCAAACACTCTTCTGGGATTTCCCCATCTCATTTAGGCCCTAAAGTGCATGGATTTCAGAAATATACCCAGATCAGCTATTTACTAGCTCTGTGACCTTAGGCTGTGCTCTTAACCTCTCTAGGCCTCAATTTTTTCATCTGCAAAGTGGGTATCATAATAGTGTCGGCCTCGCAGAGTCATTGGAGGCTAAATGAGCTTATCTCTGTAAAACCCTTAGTTTGCATGGGAAACTGTAAACACCTGATTATTATCGCCGTCTCTGAGCTCATCGTCTCTGTGTCCAAGAAGCAGACAGGGCTGTGTTGCTTGGCTGCTGGGCTCAGTGGGAGGTTCGCCTGCAGGGAACTGGGGTCTTGAACGGGCCTGATGGACACAGGGCCTCAGGTGTGATATTGACCCCCCGGGATTCAGGTGGTTTGACCTCCAGAAAAGCAGCAGACGCGTTCAGCCCTTCCGGAGCCCTACAGAATGTCAGACCTGGATGGAAAACACCTGTCCCTCCTTTCATAGTACGAAGGGGAAACTGAGGCCCAGAAAGGGGCAGGGAATGGTTCAAGGGCCCTGCAGGAGCTGGGAGCAGAGCCTGGCTTTCCCCTCACAGCTGGTGGTCAGTGACTTGCCTCCCCAAGAGGCCCAGTGGGGGTTAGATCAGGGAGATGGGGCCCAGCCTATACCTCCAGGTCCCTTTGCCCTCCTGGCCCTGGTCACCCCAGGGGGTGATGACAAGTCTGGGGAGACCTTCCTCTGTTCTCCCCAGTCCTCACTACCCCTCCACCACCACATTCTGTGCATCCGGTCGGTTTTCCTCCTCTGTGGATGTTTGCCCTGTGTGTTGTTAAAAAAAAAAAAAAAGATCTTTGAGGTGGGGTAATGGAAAGCCATGAGCTGGGAGGCGGGCGCTGAGATGGCGTAACAGGAACTGGCTTAAACGAGCAGAGGCTGTTTCCTCACATGATGGGAAGGCCAAAGGTGCTACTCAGACCTCACGGCGCCTCTTGGGATCATGGCTCCCCTGCCTCTTCACTCTGGCAGCTTTGGCCCCCACGAGTGGTTATCTCACGGTCATGCATTGGCTGTCCCCCTGCTTTCTGACCCTGTCCCAGGCAGGAAGAGGTGAAGGGCCAAGCGTCTGTGCCAGCTGGGCTCCCCCCTTTAACAGGTAGCAACTTGGACTCACATCTCAGCGGTCAAAACTGGGTTCAAGTAGCAGGGCTGACGCTAGCTGCAAGGGAGGCTGGGAAGCTGAATATTTTAAATCGGGGCTCTGCTTATGGAATTGGGGGCTGGATCTTTGGGTTGGCAAGTAGCAGTCCACCTCAGCAAACCTTGGCTCTGGGACCATGGCAAGGCCTTTCCCAGGGTACATATGGCGTCTCGGGTGGCTCTCAAATGACCTCATCCTATGGGCTGACCCAGGGGAGTGAAAGCTGTATCAGCTCCCTGCACACACACCTGCCCCTGGCCCAGGTGAATTGGTGGCAGCCCTGCTTTTGCCCCCTCTGTGCCTCAGTTCCAATTCTAGTGACGTTAACTTTTATTTTGTTATATTCCATACCACCACCTTACTATCATGAAGAATTTCTTTAAGCCAATTCACTTATTGGCTTAATAAATATATTTAAATAGGAAATTCTATAATCCTACAGTAATCCCTTCAGCATTAGCATCGTGCTCCATAGAAAGGAGATATGGTGCGGCATGGCTCAGTGGCTGAGCGTCAACCTATGAACCAGGAGGTCACGGTTAATTCCCAGTCAGGGCACATGCCTGGGTTGTGGGCTCGATCCCCAGTGTGGGGCAGCCAATCAATGATTCTCTCTCATCATTGATGTTTCTCTCTCTCTCCCTCTCCCTTCCTCTTTGATATCAATAAAAAAATATTTTTAAAAAAGATGAGAGAATAAATGTACGAGAAGGCAAGCAATGGTAGTAAGTTGGGCTACGCTCTCCTGCCCTGACAAGGGTTCTCAGCCTGTGGCCAGCTTGTCTTTGTTTTAAGGGCAATTGTGATGCTAGGAAGGTGTTAGAGGCATGTGAGCACTAAGCAGACTGTCTCCTCCACGGAAAGGAAGTGTAAGGGAGACTCAATTTCCCTCTCCATAATCTAAGCCACCGAGAACACCCCCTCTCCCCCAGGGACACCGGGTCTTGGCCGCCCTTTCCTGGTCTGAGGTCGGCCGTTCTGAGTGCATATATCCCTCCTGCAGACACTTCACCTCTGGAAGCCAGAATGGAGGTCCTGAAGGAGAAAGTAGAGGAGGAGGAGGCTGCCGAGCGGGAGGACGCGGCGGAGAGGGGCGAGAAGATGGCCAAGCCACCACCGGAGATTCGGAAGGAGGAAACCCCCATGACGCAGGAGATGCTCAGAGACCTGGAGAAGAAGCTGTCGGATATGGAGATCGCCATCCCGGATATGTGCGTGTCGGGTCAGAGCAGGGCTGGGCAAAGGAGGAGCCGGGCCCAATGAGGGACCTGGGCTGGGCAGCAGGACCAGGGCTTAGAGGAGGTCAGGCCGTTAAGAGCGAGGGCTCTGGCCCTACTCGGTTTGTCTCAGTGGATAGAGTGTTGGCCTGTGGACTGAAGGGTCCCGGGTTCGCTTCTGGTCAAGGGCATGTCCCTCAGTTGCCGGCTCCATCCCTGGCCCTGGTCGGGGTGCGTGTGGGAGGCAACCAATCGATGTGTCTCTTTCTCTGTCTCCCCGCTCCCTTCACTCTCTCTAAAAACCTTTGGAAAAATATCCTCCAGTGAGGGCTCTGTTTTCAGACTGCCTGGGCCAAGTCCCCACTCTGCCTCTCGCTAGCTGTGTGACCCTGGGCAAGTCACTCAACCTTTCTGTTCCTCAGTTCCCTTAGCCGTTTCAAAGGGCAAGTGCTGATAATGAGGATTAAACAAGGAGGGGCTAGAGCCCATGGCAGCCGAGGTGGATGGAGGGTTCCGGTCCAGGCCTTGCCCCCTGAGGACTAATTAATGCCATCCCTTCTATGGGCACAGGATCATTACCAAGGACACCAAGGTCACCGTCGACACCTCCATGCTGCCCGCCTCCTACCAAAGCAACACGCCCAAGGAGGAGCACCTGCTGCAGGTGGCAGACAACTTCTCCTGCCAGTATAGCCACCTGTGCCCGGACCGCGTGCCCCTCTTCCTGTACCCGCTGAACGAGTGCGAAGTGCCCGTAAGGCCAGGTCGTGGAAGGCGGGGGAGGGGGCCCCATAGCAGAGGGCGGAAGGAGGTGGGCCATGCACAGCCCTGTCCTGGGCCAGAGCTTAAAGATAGGGAAGGGCAGAGAAAGAAGACAAAATGCCCAGGACGGGCCCCAGGACCTGAGCACTGGGCTCCTTCCTTCCAGCCCTGTAACCAGGGCACGTCCCTGAGCCTCTCTGGGCCTCAGTTTACCCATCTGTCGATGGAATGGCAGAGGATGAACCCCAAGGCTGCAAAACAGCAGCCCGCAGGCCGGCGGAGACGCACAGACTTTTATTGGGCCGCATGGCGATTTTTAACCTATGTCTGAGCAGCATTGGGGGCTCGGGGATTCTCCCCTCACCTCTTACCTGGTGATCCCAGGCCTGCACGCCCCCTGCAGCCGTCAGCGGGGCCTTAGGTGGGGCCGTGCGAGATCCGGTGCTGGTGGGGCCTTCCTGGAATCCATGGGGAGACCCCGGAGCCCTGGCCCACTGGCCCCGGGTGGCAGAGCAGCCCCTGAAGGGCCCTAGTAGCACGAGGTCCCCCACCCGGGGCGGTGGCCCAGGCCCAGCTCCGCTGCCGACTGTGAACCTGAGTCAGTCCGCTTCCCCTTGGAGCCTGGACAGCCCCTGAAGGGCCCTAGTAGCACGAGGTCCCCCACACGGGGCGGTGGCCCAGAGCCAGACAGGCCCAGCTCCGCTGCCGACTGTGAACCTGAGCCAGTCCGCTTCCCCTTGGAGCCTCGGTTTCCTCCTCTGTCAGTGGCACCTGCCTCACGGGGTCACTGGGGGTCGGGGAGGGGGTGCCAGGTGTGGCGGCTCTCAGTGGGACGGTGGGGATGGCGGGAGGCACCCATTCATCACGGGCGCCCGGGGACAGCACACGTTTATCCTGGATCTGGGCCGGAAGGGTTTGGAGGAGTCCCTTTCTCCAACTCCCAAGGCCCCGGGGGAGGAGCCCGAAGCCCAGAGAGGCCTCCAGAGCGCCCCCTGCCCCCA